TGCCTTACCGGATTAGAACAATGAAAACAATAAAAAAATAACTAGGGAATCACTAAACCGAGAGAATTAATCTGTTTTGATGATACACTCAAAATATTACACAAGCAATTCTTTAAATTTAATGATATTCAGAACAGAACAAGAATAAAAAAAAACTATAATTAAGAAATAACCGAAATAATTGAAAGCGAAAGTGAAAGTAGGTGGTGTTTGGCTCACGTAACTCTCTCATTAGAATCAAACTGTTTCAACATTTGCGATGTATTTGGATGCTAAACTATTCTTCATTATGGGCTTTGTACTTCACTCAGGTTTCAATATGTGTGTGTGTGTGTGTGTGTGTGTGTGTGTGTGTGTGTGTGTGTGTGTGTGTGTGTGTGTGTGTGTGTGTGTGTGTGTGTGTGTCTGTGTCTGTGTCTGTGTGTCTGTGTGTGTGTGTGGGTGAGGTGCGGGTGCGGGTGCGGGTGCGATTGAACTGTTACACATAAAAACATACTCCGTCATTTTGTTCATAGAGGACATCATTCAAACTGCAAAGTGTTTACTTATATTTGTGTACACTCGCAATAAAACACAACAAAGTGCTTTTGTCAAACTATAAACTCTTGTCAAACTGTAACCTACAACTGTCACCCAACTAAAATCACACGCACACACTGTCTAAAAGCAAAAAATATTTATCCAACCCCATTTAAAACAGTCTGTGGGAGCCATCTTTTGGACATTCACCATATCGCATTGATTTTCATTTATTGTCCTCAGAGCCCTAATCTGTTTATTTTTCAATTACACATTCTACATTGATTAAAAAAGAAAATTCTAATGTGTTTTTATTTTATACAGGAATAAGTTATTTATAATTCAGATGAGAATAAAGTTAGTGTTAGTTCAAATTTTAAGGAAAACAAATATATTGATCTGAAATATAGCACATTCATCTCAGGTTAAATTACCAAACATACAATCTTAATTTAATTTAAAGCAAACGATACATTTAAAATATATGGGTTGTATGCATATTTTGGAATTTAAAAAAAAGATATATATCCAAAAAGACAAGGCCTTAAACTTGAACAAGGGTTAAACTCTTGTCGCTGTAAGAGACACAATGATTCAGCATTTTGAACGAATCGATTGACTCAAAGATTCAATGACCAATCCATAAACATGTATTGTCTCATTCATGAATGACTCAGTCGTTCGAACGAATCATTTGAACGAATGAATCAATGACTCACTCATTAAGACGGTCGCCTGGCGACACCTAATGACGGTTTAGTGTTATGTTTAAAAGTATCATTCTTTCCAACTCATATTTAAAACAATCTCACATTATTTAATGCATTGTTATTTTTCAGTGTAAACGATTTAATTTGATCACCCCTACCTAGAGTAACAGCCATATAGTGTCTTATTATTCTAAATAATTGAATTTATTGATCAAATTTAAAAAATTAAAAATGAAAGATGAAGCATACATTTAATAAGACTAGACTAGGGGTGCCCAGCAGATATTACAATTGGCAGATTTAAATATACCATGGCCCCCCACCGTCAATTTGGTGTGTGTATAATAAAATCATTTAGTCACTACAATTAAAACTTGAACGTATTTGCTTACTAAATTGTGAGCAGAACGAAAGTTGCAGCAAAGATCAGCAACAGGAGTCAAAATTCATTAATCACGAGAGTGAAGAGCTGACTGGAAAAATTATGACGGAATATTTTGTGTAAAAGCGCCTATATAAGCGAATCTGTCATTTACTCTTTTGTTGTTGTCTTTTCCCTGAAAACCGGAAGCAATCGGTCCCCGATATGGCGCTAATTTTAGTGACACTAAAAAGTATGCGGCTGCACTGGAATTCATAACGGTGCGCGTCCATGGCGACGAGCGAGCAAAACAGAGCGAATGTTTTTTCATTTCTACTTCCATAGAAATTCATTCGAGCGCACTGTGAGCGCCACCACTATAAATGTCCGTGCGGACGTCCTTACTTTACTTTCACTTTTAACTTAGCGATTTAACACGTTTTACACGTCAAATAACCGGTGAGAAAATATTCTCGGAGTCACATAGGCTACCTAATATATTTAAATACAATAGGCCTACCTGATTTTGAACACAAGAGGGCAGTATAGCCCTATGTATTATTTGATATATTTATTTTTTTAACTGAATAGTGCATCCTGGCTGTTTTTAAACTTGTACATTACTCTTAAATTGAAAACAAGAATAAAATGGGTTTAGTTGTGATATTTGTATAATTTTATCTAGAAATAAATGGTGTATAATTAAATTTTTAGAAGATATGAGGCTTTTAGTGTTTATTTTTTTTTTACATGATTTTAATCCCTCGCCATAGCAAAACAATTAGAGATATTCAATAGATATTCACAATTATGCTTCTTTAATGTATTTTCATCATGTTGAAAAAGTTTGGTGGGAATAAAATAAACCACTTAAGAGGAGTGGGTAAAAATGTAGAGCCTGGTTTTGCAAAACATCCACATTAAGACAAAAATAGCCCACTTCCTGTTGGGCTGGCTTAAAGTTGTTTGGCCCGATGAGATCTATATACCGAGTTTCATAATATTACATGCAAGTGTGTTTGATTTATGGACCAAATTTTCTGACGAAGTTTATGGACCAAGTTAATTTAATTAATAAACTAATTATATAAAACTATTTTCAATGCACTACAATTCAACTGGTTATATGCCTTTACTTATTAATACAACTTATTTAAAAAATACAAGGCGTAAGACATTTATTTTCTTTTTTAATGCAGGCCAAACAACACAGCAGTCAAATGGTTAATCTAGCCCCCCTCCCCCTCCCCCTCCCCACACTCACAGACACACACACACACAGAGACGTAGGCTCAGAGAGAGAGAGAGACATAAAATGACAATTTTCAAACCAAAATATCTGACTTCCTGTTGGTTGGAGCTATTGAGTGTAAATTAGAAACTTGTCTGGCTGGAGGAGAACAATACACATACCGATTTTTATTACTGTAGATAAAATTAATCTCCCCACTTTTGACAAAAGGTGGCGCTACTGAGCCCTCAACACGCCCGTTTCTGAAACTTTGCACATGTCTACTGGCTAATAAATGAGATGTGTCTGTCGAGTTTCATGCAATTTTAAGCAATTTCAGGCATGCTAAGAGTCTCAAAAGCATAAAAAAAGAATATTAAAGTTTGATGCGTTGCCACGACAACAGTATCTAAGATATCAAGAATCCATTCACAGGTCTACATCTGCCGTGTGTTTACATTATAGTAGTGAAGTTTGAAGCAAATCGGGTAAAAATAAGAGGGTGATTTCAAAGCATTTAGGAAGTGACACACTTCCTTCTGCCAGTTGGTGGCGCTATAACTTTGACTCACAATAGTCACATCCATGTGATCGGGCTCTTACAACGAACACACTGGTGAAGTTTCATCAAGATCAGTTAATGTATGCAGTAGTTATGACACACTTCCTGTTTCACGTTTCTCGCCATAATTTTGTTTCCTCGCCACGGCCAAACCGTTCGAGATATCAAAAATCCCCTCGCAAACTTTCATCCTCAATGTCTTGACTTCATGCTGACCGAGTTTCGTGCCGTTTGTTTGAATTCTCTAGGAGGAGTATTTCACATTCCATTGCGTGTGTTTTACCAACAACCCTAAATAGCCGACTTCCTGTTGGGCTGGGGTAAAAAGTAAGAGTGTGAAGTATATATGAAACGAGGAGATCTACATGTGTACCGAGTTTCATATTATTACATGCAAGCATGTTTGATTTATGGACCATGTTTTCGGACCCCGTTCCAGGGGGCGCTGTCGAGCCCCCCTGCCACGCCCGGGTACCATCTTCAGCCCGGCCCTGATGGCCGCGGGTTCTGACCAGTGTGCAAAGTTTCAGGAGTTTTTGAGCATGTTAAGGCCTCCAAAAGTGTCCAAAAGGTAGCAGAAAAATAATAAGAATAATAATAATAAATAATCCTAAGGAAAACAATAGGGCCTTCGCCCTTTGGGCTTGGGCCCTAATTAATCTTTATTAGTATATACATGCACATTTTTTATATATATTATAAAAATATAGGCTATATTTCACACACACATACATTCATAGTCTATATATACATCATTTTACATGAATAAAGAACGTATTTATTTAGCTTACACATTAACACAATCAGCAATCTTTCTCCAACAGTCTTCTCTTGCTTTGGCAGCAGAGACCGTATTGTTTCGAGCTTGTAATACATATTTAAATTCATCGTAATTCTGAATGATTATCTCTTGCTCCTCCGCGGAAAGAAAATATCGCTCTCGCTCTATCCATATCGAACGCGATTGGTTGTTCGGTGCCAACGTCACTTTGGTATGTGCACGCGCTCATGGAGTAATCATAGCTTAAGATCAAAGCCTGAGTTGACAGAGAAAGTTGATGAGCTGCGTCATGGTACCAATAAAGCCTGATTGCATCGGTTTGGTTTTGTCAACTCAAAACTAATCCTGTAACTCCGAGTTTGTTCAGCTACCTTCATGGTACAGGCCCCAGACACACGTCAGCGGCGGCACTGAACGCGGATCCACAACAGAACCGGAAGACAATACAATGCTGAATAAAGTCCTTGTTTTTGTTATTTTTGGACCAAAATGTGTTTTCGATGCTTCAAAACATTCTAACTAACCCACTGATGTCACATGGACTACTTTGATGATGTCTTTATTTCCTTTCTGGACAAGGACAGTATACCGTACATACATTTTCAATGGAGGGACAGAAAGCTCTCGGACTAAATCTAAAATATCTTAAACTGTGTCCCGAAGATGAACGGAGGTCTTACGGGCTTGGGACGACATGAGGGTCATTAATGACATCATTTTCATTTTTGGGTGAACTAACCCTTTAATCTTTTAATGTTAGAAGTTTTTAGTTATAATGTAATGATGGTTATTCACTTTAACTGTTGGATTGTTCCGAGTTTTCTCTTTTTTTTTTTCTATACATCAGAATAATGTGGACCAGAGCGGTGTGGAGAGAGGAAACCATGGAGATGGAGGAAGTGATACCATCATGTTGGGTTAAGAATGGTGGTGTATTGTGGCCTACACAAGGGGCTGCGAGAGCGTTGAAGGCCTGCAAAGAACCAGAAGAGTCATGGACGAAATTCCCGTTCATAAAAATTAAGATTCAGTCAGGTATGTGTTTTGTAAAGTCATATATGAACGTAAGGCAAATTTCAAATCGTCAATGCATACATATGGACATTTCTTAATTTTTCTCTTTTACATGAACTTTTAAGTATCTCTATCTGTCTCTTATGTATGTTTGGTAATTTCTAGCCTGCTATAATGTCAGTTTTGCGTGTGTATTTTGGGGAGACTGTCGTATTGTTTGGTTTTATCTCCAAAAACAAATAACTAGAGATGCACCGATTACAATTTTCAAGGCCGATTCCGATTTCCGATTTTTCTTGAGTTTGAACGGGTTTTTACAGCACACACAAATATTTATTTTCTATCTTCTCTTTAATAGAACATTTTGCATAGAACATTTTTTTAACAGATAATCACTATAAAATAGGACTATATAAATTACTCCTGGTGTGGGAAATCCACACACATCTAAAGTGCAATGTTATGGAAGAACCATTTCCTTTTCACATCCAATATCCAACAAAAAAAATTGATATATTTAGCAAACTAAACTTTTGTATGAAAACAGGTAATGCCAATAAAATAATATATAAATAACAAATAAAAATAAAATAAATATAGCCTACCCTTGCAGTATATATTTCTCAACACACACACACACACACACACACACACACACACACACACACACACACACACACACACACACACACACACACAGGCCTATTGTAATCACTTGTACATCAATGGCAAGTTATATTTCTCAAACAGTTTTTCTCTCTGACACATGTCCAGCCAGGCTAAACAGGACAAGTGGAGCATGTGCAGGGAAACGATTGGGAATAAAAACAAGTTATTTTCTATAAATATTTTTGAGTCTTAATTTTCTTTTCTGACATAGCCTGGCTACTTCAGTTCTTGTTAAAACACACCAGACGTGCAAATTCTGTGCATTTTGGGCACTTTTGGGGTGAAATCATATTTATTTTGTCCATCAAAAGTATGCTTTCACTTTAATTGAGCGCGAGCAGAATAGACTCGGTGCTGAAACAGCTTCACTGTTGCTCACGCGACGCCCCTGCTCGACGCTCACGCGCTGCTCCAGCTCCCGGTGTGAATGCACTCATTGATTAACATGCACGCCGAAGAAGAAAAAAAAACCCGCTGCTCACGCTTGTGGTGTGAAACGGTCGTAATTCACGAGGTTTCCTACATGTGTGTTCCGTGTGCACGTGTGATGCTGATGTTGCGCGATGTTAATCATGCGGCGCCCGAGACTGAGTGCATTTGACTGGCATAAAATCGGCATGTCAGACTGACCGGCCGGTCGCCGATCATGGCCGATCACGTGAAAATCGTCCGATTCCGGTCACCAGCCGATCAATCGGTGCATCTCTACAAATAACCATAAAATTAAAAGTACCCAAATGTCAGAAGCACAACACAAATAAACAGTCACATCCAGAAAAAAATAACAACAAAATATATTCGAGAGGGAACAGGAGGAAGCAAAAAGCTTATTTAGTCCTGCCCCTTCCTCACAAAATCATATCATATGCCATCATATGCCATAAAAAGAACAATAATGTCATTCAATAGCCTGTTTATTGTTGACTGTTGGCATGCAGGATGATATCCGCTTATATAAAAAATGAAACAAGTATTTTATAATAGCCAAACCTGCATTTTTACCCAGTTGCTGTTGTATATTAAGACTTACTCATTTGTATGCATTTTACCATTGCTGTATGTACTTTCAGATGACAAGAATGAATGCGAGAAGTATGATTTTACTACAACTGCTGAATTGAGTGTCTCAGAAGAGGAGTTACCGATGAAGAGGAGGCCCCAAACATTTTTTTATCCCGACTATCAAATGAGTATGTAGTGCACTTTTACTAATTTGATCATTTGTAAGACTTTTTTTCAATGTTGTAGAATATTACATTTGTAATTGTCTATCAAAGATTTGACTTTTTCCTTTTTTTAGATGAACCATCTGTCAATGAAGACAGTCAAAAAGAATCTTCTCCAGGTCTTATGATAAAGAGTACAGGTATGTAATAAAAAAAATAATAATTGGTTTTCACATTTATTTTCATATCTCTGGCACAACAATAAGGTTGGAGTAGGGTTTTCTAACCTTTTTCAATTCAAACTAAGACAGTCAATACGGGTATGCCTAATTGTTTGAAAGTTGACTACTGTCCTACAGAATGCCTATTACTAATTTTAGGTGAAAAGGCTACCAAGAAGATTCGAAAATTTATTCCCTGTGAAGGTATGTGTTAATTTACAGGAACCAATGCACTGATGGCAATGTCTGCATGGCCCCAAGGGCTACATCATTGTAACATTGTATTTTTAGAGTAAACCAACAAAAGGATATCCTTGTGCACAGCCAGTGTGATCGTCAGGTGCAGGTTGGTAGCAGGAACATTTAAAGTAAAACAGTGAAATAGACCACCGCATGCTGTAAAACTTGACAGAATCTTTGTGAGCAAGCAACACGTTTCGCCTGTAGCTCCCTCTGATTGTCGCTCACTCAGAACAAAGATTCGGTAAAGTTTTTCAGTGTGCGGTGGTCAAATTTACCTGTTTTGCTTTCATTGTATTTTTAGAGTTTGTAATGACATAAGTCTTTGTTGGAGCCACAATGGGTGCTTTTTGTTTTTGAACACTGGTTCATTTTGGGGTATGCCACACCAAAAGGGGGCAGTGACACCTTGGGTCATGAGAATCAAGCCAAGAAAAGAATAACAAAAGTTATGCGCGTTAAGAACACATCATTGTAGCATTTCAATCACCACCGTGGTTGTCAGTAATCGGGCCAATTAGTCACTACAGTTTTGAAAGTACTTTTTTATGACTGTTGGCTATTTATTACAGATGACTTTGTTCTTCCAACTCCCAAAATGACGAATACACAGTCTGGTAAATATGGCACAACTACCAACACAATGAAAAGACGCCGCATCCTGCATCCTGCAAATACAAGTAATGAGAATCAAGCCAAGAAAAGACAAACAAAAGGTATGCACATCCAGAACACATCATTGTAGCATTTTAATCACCACCGTGGCTATGTCAGTATCGGGCCAATTAGTCACTACAGTTACTAGTTAAGTACTTTTTTTATGACTGTTAATGTTGCGTTGACTAACCAAATATGTGAAAGTAATTTTGAATTATTGACATATTATTGACATATATTAACCCTTCCCAGTGTCTAAAACCTCTAAAAATGCAGAAAGAACCCAAATGAACATCCCCTCAAGCCCTCAATCTCGATCCTTGGCACACAGTGGTAGCAGGAGTCCCTCTGAGTCTCTTTCTAATAGTCGAAGGTATTTTATTTTTATTTTTATTAATGTAAGTTATTATTATTCGATTTTATTTGGTATGGACATCACAATTACACTGGGCAAACCAGATGCACTGATTGAGTGCTTTAGCACTTCCAGATGTAAAGAAAATGTTTGCTGTACTACTGACTCAGTAAAAATAGAAATTGTATGACAAAATGATAATTCCCACAACTTAGAATTACACTTCATTTGCAATACCTCCTGTAGCAATTTCCCTGCTTTATTCATTCATATTTTTTTTTAAACCAGATCATTCAGCCCTGGCCAAGAAAGTCTGTCCAGATCCCTTTCTCAGAGACAGCGTGAGGGTTCCTCAGGGTCTTCCACTCATGGACGGAGGTAATTAATTTAAATATGATCAAAAGTACAATATTGTCAGTATAAATGAAGCCCTGTAAAGCTGCAGCCTGAACTACACATCTTCCAGATGTAAGAAAATGTTTGGCACAGACCTCAACAAATGTCACATGAGATATATTTATATATAGATGTATATATATTTTTTTTAATTAAAAACTGCAATGCAAAATGATCATTCCCACTAATTTGAGAATTAGACTTCATTTGCAATAACGGTCATAGCAATGTCCTTTTAAAAAAAAATGTTTTAACCATATAATTTAGCCGTAGCCGACGGAGACGGAGTTCCTCAGAGTCCTTCTCACGGTGTCAGACTGCTTCTGAACCCACAAGGAGCAGTAAGAGGTGAGGGTGTTGTTAGGAACATATTTTGGCATATGGGAGAAAAAAAATACTGGAGCTCTTTAAGATACTTGTATCTGTCTTGGGTGTGCTTGTACATGACCATTATGGGTTGCATAGTATGCAACCCATTTTCTCCATCAGTGACACCCCAAGAACGACTATCGACCGAAGCCTTAGGCAGCCTCCTGAGAAGTATATGAGAGCTGAAAGGGATCCCCCAAATGCAGCCAAGGCGATGTCAACGCATGCACACTCAAACAAATTGAGGAAGGAAGACTTCCCGATGTCTGAAAAAAGTAATTTTATTCTCTTATTTTTGCTGACAAATAATTAGGAGTCTTCCAGTGTCCCTAGCTGTCCCCAAAGTTTCAGTTGAATCAGACTCAGCAGTTCAATATGACACTTTGCCAATTCTTCAAACTAACCTGATCTTTCACATGAGCACATGGTAACATGTAAGGTTTTTTTAAAAATTATTATTACAAGCAAAAAAAATTATAATTTGCTCCACTGGCATATTTTTCTATTTATTTTAAGTGAAAATTTCCGTGAAACAAGTGAAAATTGTCTAAATACAAGTTACTTTTTAGGTGTCTTATTTTAAGTGTATGAGATTTATTTTGATTAGAAATTAGACATTTGACTAGAAATATCACAAATATTCTTGGTAAAATTGAGCTTTTGCAGTGCATTTTTATTGGGCAAATGGAAAAACTGATTTTGTGGTGTAGAGCGTACTCACTACATTATAAATTAATAATCGGTTGCTTCTTTTTTGGCTAGAATTCCAGAAGAGAGTTCTTCAGCTCCTTGTCGAAATCAAGGATACAATTCACGTTGCCACCTCATCTGATGGAACAAGTTATGAAGTGAAGCCGGCAAAAACACTGAAGAAGAGCTTGAAGCTTTAGAGAATCGCCTGGAGGACACGAATGAGGGAGCAAAACTGGTAAGTTTTAACCCTCAGGTGGTATTGGGGTCTGAGTATCAGGCTAGTGAAACATGGTTTCACAACTCTAATGTACATGGGGCTTTCAATGCTAACGATTTGTAGAGATATTCTTATGCCTCTCCCTGATTGAGTACAAGACAAAAACACTCAAACTGATCTAATAAGTACAGCTTGATGGGGCATTTCACATTTTGATCAGAGACAACAGCAGGAACAGACGAGACGAAGAGGTGTGCACGTTTTATAGGCGCATGAGGCCTATAGAGCGTGCACAGTATGTTTTCATCCGGGTAATGTCTTTACAGCAGGAAGTGCCTTTTCCGGCTTCATGGAGTTCTGAGGTGTTATGCTAGTAGTAGCTAATGTACCCTGGAGGACAAGTGCTCTAAAAAAAACGCAGACAACAAAAGGGTTATATAATTAATCTTGTAAAGTGCTGGCAAAGTTTCATTATGACAATTGACTTTATGCACAGCTGCACTACTTCCTGAACTTAAGCCAGCTCCTTTATTTCCTGTCTTACATTATTGGACACACTGATTAATCCAGGTGTGTCTGATTATTGTTGCTATGACTACTGAGGTCAGGCACACCTGAATTAATCAGTGTGTCCAATAATGTAAGACAGGAAATAAAGGAGCTGGCTTAAGTTCAGGAAGTAGTGAAGCTGTGCATAAAGTCAATTGGCTTGTTGACCTTGGTGACCACTACAAACTCCTCGTCCTCATCATGTGCCTGCTTTGTGGAGGTCTGGACTCTACTGACCACTTTTTCTGGTTATATTTTTAATTTCTTATTGCTCCTTTTCAGAGTAAACATCTGAAGAGGTTGGGAGGCGTTGATGCTGCAGACCATGTGAAGAAGTCAATGGCTGCGTAAGTAACTTTGTTCCTTTTTTGCATTAGTTTATAGTGATTATGTTCCGTCATTAGGGTTGGGTATCGTTTGGGTTTTATCCGATTCCAGTACCTACTCTGTATTTTTTAAACGGTTCCGGTGCTTAAACGGTTCTTAAATCGGTACTTAAGAAAATGAAACCGCACACACTTTATCAAAAAATAATACCCTTTAATTTACAGGGCCAAACTGGACACAATATTAACTTAAATCTTTAAATAATATAAATACAAGTAACATATGGTAATAATAAAACCAATATAAAATAAAAATTCATATTTACATAATATCAAATGAAACAATATTGTATCAAACAATGTAATAATACTGGAGATTGCAGAGCTGCCAACTCTCACGCATTGACCGTGAGACTCACGCAAATGACCCTTTTCACACAGAAAAATCGCGGACAAAGAGGACACTGACAGACAAGACAGAGAAGGTTACTTTTGATATGGAACAAATCCACAGCTGTCAGATTCTGTCAATATTTTTACGAGATTCACACAATAAATAACGTTTTGGCTCTTTGAAATGTGACAGATCGCTGTAGCGCGTCAGTTCAAACGGCACGTGATACAGCAGCCTACAAATCCACTGCTTCTTAGCTACGCAGCGTTGAGTGAACCTATGAAAGAGAACATCTCTGGTTACTGGTGTTACATATCTCTCAATAGGGAACGGGACGCAGCCAAGCTCCTCGCACTGCCGACCAGCTTCCTTTTTCGGCAGAGAAATCTGAGGAGCAGATGGCGCGCGCGCGACAGCATAGTATGACGACGTAAGTGCGTCGATGCGGCGCCATCAGCCAATGAATTGGCTTGATTCTATATGGTATTCAGACTATCGCCACACCCAGAGGGCGTTCTGACACGTAATTTTACACGTGAAATGCAGCCAAACCTTGCGAGAAAGAGCGCGCATGCGAGACAGAAGAAACTGTGCTCCAAACTGTGTAGCACACGCACGGCGGAGAGAGAGAGAGCGAGAGACCTTGTGTGTGTGTGTGTGTGTGCGCGTGTGTGCCTAATGAAGTTAGGCACCGAAATCAGGCACCGAAATTTTCTTTCTTATTCGGTCTGGTTACTACCGTTAACATCGGAACCGGTTCCCTATTGGCACCGAGTTTCGGTACCCAACCCTATCCGTCATATACTGTCATGCACTCCCACACACCCACTTAATCGCTCTCTGCTACATTTTCATAATGAACTTGATTGCAATATAATATTCTAATATAAATCTGTTTTACTATGGCAGAACTATGACAAATAAAAGTATGGCCATAATGAGCCTCAGAGGAAGAAGTGGGAAGGTTGCCTTCATGAAGACCCGTCTGTACAAGATAATCTGTGGTGAGTTTGCTTTAACCCTCTGGGGTCGGCAATCACGCCGGCGTGATCTGCTCGCTTTTTTTCTTATCAGTGCAAAAGAGACTCAAAATACTCGGTTGAGTTTGATCTTACATATAAGTGTTATACATCATTAGATCCTGTTTAGTTTCTATTTTTTTTTTGTGGATACTCACAATAAAAACAAAGTGTTGTGCTTTTCACCAAATAAAGAAAAACAAACATGATGCGAGTTCTGCGTTCTCTCTGTCAGTGAAGTCCATTCTGAAACGCGTCCTAAGATTAACTGTAACTCCGCGATTACTTGTCACACAGGCACGAGAGATTTTTCTTTATGAAGCTTGAATTCTCTTCTTTTAAATGAAGTAATTTATATAAAAAACAAATATTCTCAGTTTATGTAATCTGTATGAAAAGAGAGTGCTGTCAGTATTTTTTTTCCCAGCTCATTACACTTCATTACGCGTTAATCTGACACGCCCACGGAGGACGCGCGCTATTCAAACGCAAATGTCGGCAAGCCATGACAACGCCCACATCAGCCGTTCCACCGCGGCGGTAAAATGTGTGGTGTATTTGCTGCCTTTTACCGCTAAGAGGCGCTACAATCATAGACTCTGAAAAGTGTTCGTTTATTCTCTCTATTGCGTAATCTGCTGCCGCACCGCGGAGCGATTGAAAGCTGGTAGTAGCAGATGAATTCAACAAGTGAAACGTAGTTAAAATAATTAATAATCACAATACTGAAATTAGGCTACTGAAATGAAATTGAATAAATAATGAAAACATTTCAACATAAAGCATTGCAATAAAAACATTTAGGCTACATGAATGAGGCTTTACAACGGCATAAGACGTTAACTCTAACAGCGTACAGACGGTAGCACAGTGATCAACGCAACGACATGAGCTTCGAGGAGCTTCAATCGACCCGAGATCGAATCTCAATGTAGCATACATGATGTTAACCGATGTTGGCCTACAGCGTTTATATTTTACCACCTTGATGCTTAAATAGGTAACTGTTTATAACTGTTTACTTATTTAAAGTCAAGAGTTTTGTTTAATTATTATTACAACATAAATTTGCTACATTCCTGTAGAACCGCAGCCGCTGCACAAACGACAAAAACTGATTAAGGAAGATTGTCAGCCGATTGCATCAGAAAATGAAAATGAAGAAGCTCGTCTTTAGCCTGCTAAATTATTGTGTAATGTAAAAGAACACTAAAATTACTTAAGTTTGAAACCAAGTTCGAACATTTCAAGGTTTATATAAAGTGTAGGGACAGTTTTTTAAATTTAAAACAGGGTTGCATCGGGTTTAGAGTTTATTTCTTTTGCGATGCAAAATAAGAAACACTAGGCTAATCTTATTCTTGCGACATTTTAAATTTGTATTGCCAAAGAAATTACAGCTAATTTAACAATTAAAACAGTACAAAACGAAAATTGTCCAAAGAAACATAATTAAATTAAAAACATGCGTTTTTCTTTGCCTCTCTCGCGCTGGATCTCTTTTATCCTTACAATAATTTTGCCTGCTCATCAGGCTGGCTATCCGACACTCTCCATATGAAAGAGGAACATTAACACCTTTGTCCAGCAACTGTCCCTCCAACCCCCCACAGGCTATCGGAGTCTGAGGCTGCAGTAACAATTGCCTTAACACAAAGAGAAGTCGCAATTCACACTTAAATCGCTATTCTAGACAGTGTTGATAATGAAGGAATTAAATGATTTAAGTTACATGTAGCCTAGTGATATTTCTGTCATAAAAGTTTATTACTAAATATTTCATTATTTCAATAATTGATGAAATAAAACTGGTTTGGGGCAGCTTTTTCCAAGCAAAACTAAATATAATCTGAAAAAACGCTTGTTAATTTGTTGTCATGAACAAAATGTTCAACTCAATATTAAAGTCTACAGGGATCTTTGGATCCTTACAACCAGGCATGCAATTTGTGAATTAAGTTTTTATTTTTTTATTTTATAGGCTATATATAATTTATTTTTTTACAGAACTGCTTTTGAAATTACGATTGGTAGCCTATTATCATACAGATGCAAAGTCGTTCTGTTGGATACTATTTTGTTCCTTAGTGTAAAATGGAAATGCATGATAATTGTATTTTATAAATATAAGCAAAAAAAAAAAAAACTGTATGGTGTAACAGAGTTTTAGAGCTAGACAAATCTCTCTGCAATAATAAATATAAAATTTACAGCAGACCATGTTTGTGCGGGATTTGAACCCATGTCATCTTGATGATCGAACCGTAAGTTCTACCGCTCGGCTATGCATTTTCTCACTGAGAAATACCCAAACGTTTGTTTCTCACATGAGCGAGAAAACGTTTTGTCTTTAGCCTGTGAGTGTAGGCCTACTTTAGCCTTTTACAGTTTTAAAAGATTATATCTTATCTGTATGACCAACAATTTGTTGTAGGCTTATTTGGAAATTACCCTAACTTGTAGTATTTCATCCTTAGGCTACTGTTAATAGACATTAGCCCCACTTACGTTTTGCTAAATGTCCCTTTGCGCCACCTGGCGGTCATTTCGCGTACGACTTTGAAATGCGACTGGTTTATTTTTATGTGTGGATGGCTAAAAGGTGTGACTAAAAATGTGCTTTTGGCTTTCATTTATATTTTGATTGTTTGTATATATATATATATATGTATGTGTGTGTGTGTGTGTGTGCGTGTATATAAATATTTATTTATTTATTTATATATATATTGTCCTTGCATTCTTTCTTGTGTGACACCCCTGAATGAAAGGCTCATTAGTATGCAGTCTGCTCAGGTAAGAACTGCCTAATTATTCATGAGGGGGTTGGGCCGTTCCACCCATCCGCATATTGCCTTTGCAAACAAAAAAATGTTTTTCACAATTTAAAACAATCTATTGTTTTATGAGAATGATTAGGCAGAATGATTTTCAGATCAATTTGAAGCAAAAACTCTAGGCGACAACATCCACTAGTCAAAAGTCTTGTGGACAGATATTTAGCATGTTATTTGTGGCCTTATATTAGAAAATTTATTTTTTAGTTTTTTCAATAACCACGCATAAACAATATTCTCTCAAAAATACAAACATGTACATACATGTTGCTCACACATTATGGTAGCCCTGTGTGTGCTATATAGAGTGTAATTTCACCTGTGCCATTAATATGTTTATAAGCAACTGAAAAAAGCACAAATGTCAGAGCATGCCAAAACATCTCAAGGACCCCGAAAACACCTCAGACCCCAGAGGGTTAACATAGTAGTTTTGTAACAATGTTTTAAATAATTGAATATAGTAAGCAGAATAATAATAATTCATAAGAAAAATCATTTTAGTTGGAGGACTCTACAGAGCATGCTCTAATATTATATATAATACTCCATTCTGGGCTCTAGACTAACTTCTCTACCGGCAGCACTGGTTACTACCAACTGCTTTTTGTTGCTCGCCCAAGCACATGATTATCAATGACCTTGCACGTTGATAAATACTAATTTATATACTTGAAACATTGGCAATGCCACAAGTTGATATTTGCTAAATATTTTAATTTGAGAGGTTAGCGTTTGCTAATACTGATCTGTTTTTTTTCTTCTTCATCAGATGCTGTCTTGAGCTCATTTGATACAACTACAACAAAAGTAGTAAAATACATGGCCAAATACTTGAAATATGCACCAGTGAGGATGGGTGGCGGTGGCAGAAAGAAGTGAAGGGAAGATTTAACCAGCCGTGTTCAATGTTGCCCAATGTTTGGGCCGTTTTTCTAAAGAAAGTAACGTTCGACAGGTGTAAAATTACATTGTGTGAAATGTTGGCACACTTGAAGCCATGTAATAAAGCATGTTTCTTACGTCAGTGAAATGTCTTTATTAATCTTCTTCCTGGTCTTGCATTGACCAATTGGCTTCTTCCTAGCTGATTGTGCGTGTCCGCGAACTTTGGTGTTTATGTATCCATTTCAAGGTGTTTGGTGTTACTGTTGAACACCTCAATAATTTAGTGAAAACAGTTTAACAAAATAACCTATGTTGAAAAGCAGGACTTTATAGTGACGTTGAAATTTCAACGTTGATTGGATTTGCAAAATCTAAACTAAAATCAATATTGATTCACTGTTGGCTCATTAACCTATGTTGAGAAACGTGACGTTGGAATGACGTTGCTATTTCAACGTTAATTAGATTTGGAAAATCTAAGCAAAATTCAACAGTCATCCAACACTGGCACCTGACGTTGATTCAACAGTGACTCGACGTTAAAATGCCAGCTGGGAAAGCTCTTCTGATTCTTCTTTCTGATTCTAAATGTCACCTTTTGTGAGTTTACAGAAGAAAGAAGGTGGTCATACAGGTTTGGCTAGTGGAGTAAATGATGAATGATGTAAATTATGATGTTCTAAAATACGTTGTATACACAGTGTATTGCTTTATGTACCTTTTTAGTGGAGTCCATTTTAAAGCACAGTGCCAAATGTGGAGAGAATCTGGGTCCTATAATCCTGTACATTGTTGGCCTCTGCCAGCAGGAAGGCATGACGGAGCAGACGAGCAAAGGGAAGCTCTCTTTGAGGAGGTGGAGCCTCAAACGTGTGCCCCAAGGCTGACACGATCCCCCCAGGCTTTACCAGAGTCATCAGGAGGGTGGTATACAGATCCTTCCTGTGGAGATAGTCTTCCACGTGGTTCTCTTGAATCTGCCGCCACACTTTGGTCATGGTGTTACCCTCGGTCCGGTCCCTCAAAAGCCGCACAACGTTCTTGTCCACACCACGTCTATAAAGTTTGATAATCAGCGTGTCAATCAACCAAGAGGTAATTGCTGTTACAAGCGAACACCAGCTATTTTTCAGTATTCTTACCTAAATGTGAGAATGGCTGGGAACATGGCTTGGTGAGCCTTGCTGAGTTGGCAGAGGATAGCATTATCCCATGCTAACCAACGACCAACCTTTCCACCTTCACCTTTCCTGCCTGCTTTAGTGCATGGTCCACAGCAAAGGACCTCCGTCAAAATGGTGTACCAATTGGACACGTCGCAGATGTGACAAACCTGCAATAGCAGTAGAGCATTGTTATTTGAACCTTGAATGTGTTTACATGAAAATCAATGTTGTAAAAATCTACCGTTGAACTGAAACTCTAGTAATAACAACAACAACCGATCCAATTACAGATATGTCGAACCTTGGTGTGGTAGCCAGACTTGTAGAGGTGAACGTCCTTTCCTCTACCCACGCATTCTTCACCACGGGGGCACTTCAGCGAGTATCTCCATACCCCAACAGGCCGCCAGACCAAGATACGACTCCGAAAGAAGAGGTTTGGAGATGGCACAGCGCCACTAACGTACCCTGGAGGTTCAGGAGGGTAGAACCACATCCGGTCTGACTTCATCACCCGTCGCCTCTTCATCACGCCGGTACTCTGCTTGTACACCTGGACGTGGGTGAAGAGCCCTCTCTCTGTGTCGTCCTTCACCCATGAGAGGTCCAATACATCAACACAGTTAATCATTAAAATGATAAAAATTAATGTTGGATCATTTTTCACATGATATGAATTACTCACAGGGGAGTCACTCAGACATGGTTCTCCCGAAGAAGACTTCTGACTCATGGCTGTGGACTGTGACGCTTTGTGCTTGAGCTTGGAAGCAGACTTATGAAATATGCCCGTGGGAATGGCGGTCTGTGACGTGGCTGAAGTGGCAGCGGAAAGGACAGTGCACGTGGACATGGCAGGCGGCATGGCAATGGCCGTCTCTGATGTGGACGTGGCTGTGGACACAGCAGCAGATATGGCTGTGGACGCAGCAGCAGATGTGGACGTGGCTGTGGACACAGCAGCAGATATGGCTGTGGACGCAGCAGCAGATGTGGACGTGAACGATTGTGATGTAGACTCAGATCGGATCACCTCTTATATAAGGCTGTCGTCCAGCCATGAAGGATCATTGCTGGGAGATTTTGACTGTGTAACAAATGCATTGAACAGACTTTTAAATCAAACATGTCTTGCATAAAGAAAAAAGTCACATCTACTTTTTTTTCTTTTGTTTCCTGATATGTATTCATAAATATTTATTAAAAAAAATCAAATGTTTGCATTGCAGGCCACTTACTCTGTCATCCTTGTCATTAGGGCTGGGCGGTATGACGGTATATATCGTTACCGCGGTAGAAAATGTCAACCGTAACAGATTTTTTTATTCTGTGTATACCGCGACATGCAAATAAGTGGGCGTGGTTAACTTGCGTGCAACGTGCGTGAGACTGAAACCCAGCGAATTGTAAAAAGAAACACGGAGAAAGCAGATCAAGATGATCCACAAAGGAATTACATTTTCTAAAGGGTTGTTGTTAACGTGATATTTTCGGGGGGGAAGGCGCAGCAGTCACTAGAGCAGTGCAGCACCCATTCAGATTAGAGGACTGCACGCTCGCAACGGGGAAAGCTGGACAACAACAGTTCATATATCAATATCGTAACGAATAGAAATAACCTTAAATAATGTATAGTTATCTGCATCTTTCCGTCTCTTAAGTATAGTTTTTAAACACGCAAACAGTTTGCCGCCCGTGAACAACATGCTTGTTAAAGTGAATGTATAATCCTGTAGCCTATCTGAGGCAAAATTACTAAATATGCATCGCGAGTTATATATTTCTAACTCCAAACAATTGGCCACCAACCAGCTGATAAAATCTTCCTTTGATTCGATACGTGATTACAACTTGACACTCAAATTAACCGATCGCATTTTACTGATGCAGAAGACGCGCGCGTGCACACGCACTGAGGGAGCGCGGTGTTCACCGGGCTATGGTCAAATAATGACGCAGTTACAAGGTGTGTATAATTTAAACTAGGCTACTTTGTCAACACTAACAGTAGCTGCTGTTCCGTTTTCAAACTGCTGCTCTCATTCTAGTCACTTCTGAACTTCTATTGATTAAAGCGCAGGGTGACGGGTTGCCAGATATCACAAAAAGAGCTAAACAAGCCCCTTAAAAACGCAGTGTAGCCTAAGCAGACATGGCACAAATGTACCGGGGAACACGTTTAAACATAACTAGTATTACTATCCTACAAAATTAAAAGGAAATAACTAATTTATTATGAATAGAATAGTTCAATATAAAATATTCGGATATTATAAACTGATTGATGAAGTAAAGCTTAACATGAGATTGAAAAATTATTCAGAAACACTTTATTTAAAGTTTAATTGCACCTATGATTTGTATTTAATATCAATCAGTTGGGGGAAGTTCATCTAAAAGTTGATGAGTGTGTTTTGTTTATATTTAGCTATCTAAATAGTTTACCAAAGAAATAATTTACCAAATAAGAGAAACAGAAAACAATGTGAAGTACTTTTCATTTCTAAAGTATTTGGGTTTATTTATTATACAAAGCCCTTTTTGTCGATTTTTCGAGAATAACTACATATATAAATAACTATATCGTGGAATATATCGTTACCGTGAAATAAAATTAGTCATACCGTGAAATAGAATTTTGGTCATACCGCCCACCCCTACTTGTCATTAATGTACATCCTAAACCTTTTCATCTGAACACTGGTGATGTGTGTTACAGTTGTAATGAGCCACCGGCAGACAGAGCTGTGCGCCTTCTTAATCAGATCCCTCTGACTGCTGCTGAAGTCGTGTGGCCTGTCCTTCTGGGCAGAATGCTGGCTGTAGAGCAACACATCAACACACTAGACCATTTCCGGTTGTGAGAACGCTTGGCGCGGTTGTGCTGCCGCTTCACGCTGGTACCTGTTTGTCTGCTGCTGTTACGTTCGTGTTTTTTCTTGGATATGTTTTTCTCTGTTTCAACCCTCCTGGATTATTCGCTGGACTATTCTCATACCCTCCAAACTTTTTGAATTCGCTGGACTATTCTCAAAACTTTTGGATAACTGGATAACTGACCTGGGTGTCCCTGTGATCCTTCACACAGATCGGCTGCGAGTCCTCTCCGTCAATATCCTGTCATCCCTCTCGACACCTGATACTGTGAGTCTCCACTCTCTTTGTCATTTGTCTTTTGCGATGTAAATCCTTAGTATGGTTGGGTAGCCGTCCCTTCTGAGGATTGTTGATTCCGACGCGGTTCTGGCTAACGCAGTGAAACCGATAAACTGTTGTGTTAGGTCGAACGGGTCATCACTCGTCATGTCGTCACATACACACTGGCAGTTTCTGTTTTTGTTTTTTGGTGGTCTTATCTGGATCTTCTTGTCTGTTGATGAGACGAATCACAGTTTTTTCTCCAAGATGGCTTTGCAATATTCCGTTGCTCATCTCAGATCATTAAAAGGAGTTTCCCGCCTGGCTCCTGATACTTATAAACGCTGTGAACAGCTCGAGGTTTTACGCCGACCTCGCTACATTCACCGGTCGCGGAAAAAACTCCGGAATTACTATTACTCGCCCCCCAATAATATTCCGGTTGTCTCTACCATCACCCGTGTTCTGGATACAACACAACTGGATAAAAGACATAGACATATCAACTTTGGAAATTTAAGATCGCTGCGTCCTGATCCTGACCTCGGAATCTGCAGACGTGCATCACCTGACCTGCGATGTGCGCTGCTAAACACCCGCTCTCTAACTGATAAAGCATCACTATTGAATGACATAATCATTGACACTGACCTGGACATGCTATTTCTAACGGAAACCTGGCAGGTGCCAAATGACTATTTGAGCTTAAACCTCTTAACGCCATCTGGATACATCTTTTTTTCTCAACCACGTCTTCATCGCAGAGGTGGAGGACTGGTTGTAGTTTGCCGTGAGACTATTAAAATATCCAAGATTGAGTTACACGATGTTACAACATTTGAATATTTAGCGCTGAAAATGACAGGCCAAACGTCACTGGTGGTAATCTTAATTTACCGACCACCAAAAAGTCCCTCTGACTTTTTTTCTGATATTAGTGAGATACTTACTCTTGTCTGTGCTTGTCATTCATCTGTTATTTTGCTTGGTGATTTTAACATACATGAAAACACTGCACAATGCAAAGAGTTGATGTCAGTATTGGACTGTTTCAACTTGATTCAAAATGTAACTTTTGCCACTCACTCCAGAGGCCACATACTGGATCTAATATGTACATCTGGCTTGAATAATATTCTTGTTAACGGCTCTGATTTTGCACTTTCAGACCACAAACTTATAAATTTCAGTTGTAGTTTTCCTATATCTATGTCTCCTCAGAAGAAAATGCTGACCTATCGTAAAATTAACTCTGTTAATTCAACTTCTTTTTCTGCTTCTATAAGGGCTTCTACTTTATCTGAATGTCTACTGTCTAACCATCCATCAGAAATCTGCTGTACTTACAATAATGCCCTGTCTCAAATACTTGATATGCATGCCCCTGTTAAAACTAGACTGGTTCCATCTACTCGTGCCTCACCCTGGTTCACTCCTGAACTTCGGATGATGAAAACTGAGGGTCGCCGTCTAGAAAGACTATACAGGAAAACTGGACTCATTGTGCACTCTTTAGCTTTTAAAGAACACCTGCTCAACTACCGGACCGTCCTTAACAATGCAAGATCCACCTATTTCTCCTCCACTATTAGGAATTCCTCGTGCAGACCCAAATCACTCTTTGCTATGGTTAACAAACTAACAAATCCACCACAACATGTTATGTCAGGCTCTGTGGAGCTTGTAAATAGCTTCTCTAAATTCTTTTCAGACAAATTGATGTCTATCACTTCTTCCATCACCAAAAACACGCATACAAGTGACTCAAACTTAATGATAACTGGACCAGCCCACTTGTCAAACCCTCTCTCTACTTTTACTCTGACTACTCCTGTTGCCATAAGTGACCTAATTGTGAAGTCAAATTCTACATCCTGCCGGCTCGATCCTACACCTACTGTTCTACTTAAGAAGTGCGTCCTTGAGGTCGCACCATTCATAACTCACATGATAAACTGTAGTTTAGCTCGTGCCATTGTCCCAGCGGAATTAAAAACTGCTGCAGTGACTCCCATTCTTAAAAAACCTGGCCTTGATCACCTAAACATGGACAATTACAGACCGATATCAAACCTAACATTCTTAAGCAAAACCCTTGAAAAGGTTGTTGCTTCTCAATTACGCTCTTATTTGGATATGAATGGTCTTTTTGAACCTTTTCAGTCGGGTTTTCGCCCATCTCACAGCACTGAAACTGCTCTTCTGCGTGTGGTTAACGACATTCTCTCATCGATGGATTCAGGGTTAATAAACATCTTGATGCTCCTTGATCTAAGCGCCGCTTTTGACACAGTCTGCCATGAATTGCTTATTTCTCGGCTTTCTGATATTGGTATAACTGGTTCCGCTCTTTCCTGGCTTATTTCCTATATCACTGACAGAATGTATTATATCACCATACAAGGTCATAATTCTGCCACCAATTTACTTACACGGGGCGTTCCTCAAGGTTCGGTTCTTGGTCCACTCTTGTTTATCATCTACATACACCCA